TCAATAATAAGAGTGCGTCAGTGTGTTTTGCGCCAAAATATTTTAATTGATTTAAAATATGACACTTCCTTAACTGCCCCTTAGTAGCTGTAAAGTACAGGTAACTATGATGCTTTTAAGCAACTGGCCGCAACTCAATTATTGCACTTGCCTTACAAAACCTGCTGCTGACTCATTAAGTGTTTGTGCATGTGTGTGCGTGTGTGTGTGTGTGCAAAGCAAAAATCAAAATTAGCAAGTCATCAAGTTAGTTAATGCTGACTGGATTGTGCAAATCCAAGTTGTACTTCATTTGCATGTTAGAAACGCGACTATGTCAATATTGTTTAGAAAGACAGTAAGGGCCAATGCCATTATGTAGTTCTGTGAAATAAACTTACTCAACAAATGTATTTATATCGGAGCGATTTGTAAAGAAACATTAAAACATCATTAAGATTGCACTACCAAGAAAAGATAACTTTTTTTTTTTATTTTATTAGTTTCTATTTTATATTTTACAAAAATGCAAAGCTGCAAATATTTTCAAATAAATCAGCAGTTGAAGAAGTACCCTACCGGCTGTTCAAAAATATATAATACAAGTATAAAGAAATTAACAGCTTTGTATTATTTTTACGCATGTACTCTGAGAAGTGAAGAATACTTTTTGAAAAAATGAGCATTGAAACGCAAAATCGATATTCTGATGATCGTAATATGAAGTTGTTAATTTTTATTGAATTAATATCCACAAAATTTAAAGCGTTGAGTTCATTTTTATAGCCTGTACCCAAAGGGTGAAAGGCTATACTAGTTTTGTGCGCATGTATGTAACACACAGAAGGAGGCGTGGCAGACCCCACAAAGTATATATATTCTTGATCAGGATGAGAAGCCGAGTGGATATAGCCTTGTCCGTCCGTCCGTCTGTCTGTTCGTATGAACGCAAGGATCTCAGAAAGTATAAGAGCTAGAAAAACCAAACTTGGTTTCCATATTCTCCTAAGACCGAGAAAGTACGAGTTTGAGTTTTTTTTCGATGCACCCCCCCACTCCCCCGCAATTCGTGTTTTTTCTTATAACTTCCGTAATTCTCGGAATTTTGAAATCAATTTTTGGTAGGTACATCCAGTTAGTACTAATGTGTCCGTGTACCAAATTTCATCATGATAGGTCAATTCTGAAGAAAGTTATAGCCATAAGTAAAATCGCTGCTCATGCGCTGCCTGCAGCTCTGTCGGCAGCTGCTTTGGTTCAACTTTGTGCTGCATACATACACGCATATAAACACGCATAGGTACGTGATGTAAATGTATGCTGTTAAAACTGAACATAAACATGTATTCTAATTTAATTTTATTAATTAATTAATTCATTCATTTTTTTAATAATTTAATTTTTTTTTTTTTATTTTTTTGTTTAATTTTTCTTTTTTGTGGAGAGTACAGGCTATTTTACTGTCGGGCTTGCTCGACTGTAGCGTTCTATCTTGTTTTATACATACCTCTTGCACAAAGGGTGGAAGAGTATACTTAAAAACTTAAAAGCTAAACGACTCTGTTATTATAATGCTTCAATCAGAAGTTGACATAAAGCTTATTTCAATTGAGAGGCGGGAACCGTGTATATTGGAGTTCGATTTACGTGTACTTATCGATCTACTAGGCTAACATTTAAAAGCCGATAGCACTGTTTAAACATCAACTATAGTGCCTTTTCTTTCATTAACAAATTGCTTAGATAATATAGTACATATAAGTTTTTAATTTCGTAACTTACAAAATGTGCTCAGCCAGCTAGAGTATTGGGCTTCAGTTCGTCATTCTTGACAAGTCGCATTCTTGAAATTTATTTAAAATTTTATTGGTAGTCCGGTTCTTGGTTCAGAAGAACACAAACACTTTGCAAAATAAGAACTTGGCATACGAAATATTTGTTTATTCCGCGAAAATGGGAAATTACCAAAATATTTTATTTCGTAAATGGTCATAAAAGAAACAATTATAAACCAAGAGAGAACGCTACTGTAGAGTAAAATACCCTTTACCCATTCCTACAAATAAGAAAACAATTTTTTTTTAAATAATATTGAACTTTAATTAATTTTAATTAATTAATAATCACAGAGTTACGGAAGTTATGAAAAACGACATCGAAAAACAAACTCAAACTTATACTTTGTCGGTCTTAGACGAATCTGGATACCAAGTTTGTTTAAAGCTAGACTCTTATATTTTCTGAGATACTGTAGTTTATATGGCCGGACAGACGGACATGGCTATATGGACTCGTCTTGTAATACTGATCAATAATATATATACTTTGTGGGGTCTGCCACACCTCCTTCTATGTGTTACATTCATTCGCACAAAGCTAGTATATCCTTTCATCCTTTGGGTACAGGGTATTATACGAACCACTCTAACGACGGACAAGACTAGTAGCCCAGGAGATATGTTATAACAACGGGTAAATAACAAATTTCGGATAAGAATCTGAATTTATCGAATTCTCGGATTAACTTACTTTGAAACAACTCGGTTAGCTAGGGGTTTATCAGTTGTTTAAACACTTTAATGTTCTATTTGGAACGTAAATTGCCTAACACCAATGATCGTTAAGTATTGCGAACAGCTTTCTCGTTCGCTATGCTCATCAAACTCGTTTAAACGTGTTCTATGTATAGGAATGCGCTGCCACTTTGATGATCTTAATCTTAATTTGAGCTGCTGGCGCCAAAATTTGTCTGTTGTTGTACTTGTAAAATTAGCATATGTATTGTAAAGTTTGCAAATTATTCATATGATGGCTGGAAAGGAAAAAAACTAGGCGCCAGTCAATAATTTTACCTTAGCATACATACTAAAAAGCCAATACTTCAGATAAGAACATGAGTTTATTTTATTAATCAATTCAATGTCACATTGTTGTTACTCTTTTTGCGCTTTTATGAGTCAGTTTATCAGTTGGACATTTGTTTTTGTCGATTTTCGTATAGACGATAGTCGATCTGCTTTTCGTTCATCACTGATTAGTCTATTTTTATATATTCGTGCACATCCATCAGTCCCTATGCCATATCTTTCAGACTGTGCGGTAGCTTATCTGGAGCATGTGTTACGCTCGCGACGAGCGTTTTATTGGTCACATGTGAAAACATAATCGATGGCCATATAATGACATCGAAAGCGTCATAGTCATGCTCTCTGCACATGCAAAAATTAATTAAGTCCAGCACTTCATACTATAAATGGCCATTTGGCCCATAGCTCTTTTTCGATTCTGGCTACTGACCTAAGTCATTTATTTATGATTCGTTCATTCAATGCCGAAGACACGCTCTTTGTGAATGATACATTCTTGTTTTTCTGCGCCACACGAACGCATTCCTAGCATTTCAATATTATACGAATATACACAATATCGAGAGCTATTATACTTGTATGTTCTATATATCTGGCGATTTTCAACATGACTCACTACTTTCTTGGAAATTTGTTTGCTTCTGACAAGACACAAAAATTTGCATATGCGCAAAAATATGTATTCTTCTTATAACTTTTATAATGTGCCTGTTATTATTATATAGTACTGACTATATGTATGGGTATGTTGTGTGCTATACTGAATATAAGAGTCGGTGGTATACATTATTCTTGGCGCCACATACCCTTTCGTTCAACGGCCAGAAGAGAGACACTGACAGGAGCCACGGCTCTATAACGGAAATGCATATACTATATAAATAAATATTTCAACTTGAACGATCTGCTAATTGAAAGCTAACTGAACGCAAACTACCTTCTGTTTGTGAATTGTTGGCGCTTTTACAACAATTTTTTCGGCAAATAAGTCTTTTTGCATCTGCTCTCAGATAAGGTCTTCAAGGGCAGTTTCGCTATATTTTATGTCTTATTATGAAATGATTTTGTCGATGGCATTGCGAATTAGTTTTCTTGGAAGTTCGTTTCTGTTTAATTATTTCAATTAATATTTAAAACTATAGTTATTCATTTTTTAAATGATTTTGTCGATGACATTGCGAATAATTTTCTTCGAATTTCATTTCTGACCAAAGTTAATTTCTTATTTATAATTATAGTTATTCCTTTTTAAAAACATCAAATAATTTCTTCGACAACATTTCGAATTAGTTTTCGTGGAATTTCATTTCTGACCAAAAATATTTCAATTCATAATTACAAGCATATTTATTTATGTTTTAATTGAAAAACATTTGTTCGTTATCAAAGTTCTTTGATAATCTGGACTCCACATATATAGACCATATAGGAATTTGTATGAACTTAATGTTTATTTAACATGTGAAATTGATATGCCCTGTCTGTTTATATTCCAGAAGAATAGGATAGTTAAATCGTAAATATAGCAATTTTTCTAACCTTGAATATATTAATATAGAAGTTATTCTTTCAACTTAAGTTTATGGTTATCTTTTAATTACTAAACTATAAAATATTGTACACTATATTAAGGGTATACAATAATTTTTTACAAGATTTGGCAGTGCAGCAAAGTTTGTTGACACCAGCAATTGTTGTTATACCCGTTGAAAAAGTTTTCGTGAAGCCAACCACACGCCTTTATACGTGTATTTATGTGCATATATATATATATATATATATATATATATATATATATATATATATATATATATATATATATATATATATATATAGGTATATCATTCAGATCTACTGCATTATAAACAAAATGGGCCATTTGCAACTGTAGGCAATGACAAATCGAATCCCAAGACAAACCCAAAATATGGAAAGCGTTTCGCAGAACACGAGTAATAAATGCACATATGTAGATATGTAGTACATATTTATAAAATAAATGAAAAGTGTGTAAAAAAGTAAGAATAAAAATAGCAGAAAGCTTTCTTCAGTATTCGCCGAGTTCGTTCGAAAACTTTTTAGGCTCGCATATGAGAAATATTTTCGAACAGTTCGCTCGGATCAGTGTTCAGCCGCTGGGCAAGAACTCAAGACGTGCGCCGGACATAAGAAAAATTTGAAGAAAATCGCAAAGTATTTGTATATTGTGCCAAAATACAAACACATATCAACATACATATATAGCTGTATATACTCAGATATATAGCGACAAGTTTTCACGCTCATTTTTCCGGACCCGTGCGAACCGGTCAAAACTGAAAAGTGGCCCAACATTTTGTGAATAAATTTTTGTTGTTGGCCAGAGATTAATGATGAGCCTTTGTGCAACAGACGCCAAAACAAATTAAACTAACAGAGTCAGTGACGATAAAAGAAATAAAAGAGAGTAAATTGAAAGCAAGGAAAAGACAGTTTCAGTTCGTTTGTATACTTTTCCACTTCAGTGTAGAGGATCTGTAAAATTTCGATTGATCGGTAAGCGTACTCAGAGCCACGTAGTTGCACTTATTACTGAATACACACATTAAATAATAAATACAGTAAACATACATATATTAAGTAGTAAATATGTGTATTTTGCAAATACTGGCAATCGACCAATATTTTATTGTTGCATATTTTTAATGCAAAAAACAATGACGTAATATAAATATTACGTGCATGGTTTTGAAAACGAAATTAATGTTAATGCTCAGTTTTATTGTTTGATAAATGCATTTAGTACACAATGTGTGAAATTGTAATTTATTGTTTATTTAGTTTTATTTCATCTGTATTTGTTGGCCATTTTATAAATAAATGTTATACACAGCTGTTGAGTCAAATTTGAAATGACAGGCACCTTTGGTGTATGGATGTGTAGAGAAAATAAATAAAATATTTTGGAGGCTAAGCGCCAAAGGTTTCTAAAAGATGATTTATACATACACACATACATATATGCATATATGTACATATATTCGAAACTATACAGCATTTCATAAAGATTGCTGGCCTTTCAAAAATAGTAGTAGAATAATAGCTGTTATTTTATAAAGTTGTTCAAATATATTAAGATTATATAGATGCCTTGTAGACATTTCTATTCCGCTTATATTTTAGAATAAAATGCTTATTATTGTCATATTCAAAAAGTGTTCTTTTCACCTAAGAGAATCGTAGTTTATTTAAAAACATCAGCCTCCAGCACGCCTCGGTGACTCGGACAATAAATTTAAAGATACGATTTACTTTTTAGATGTATTTGTGATGACCTTGAATTGATGTTTTAGTTGCTTTTTATGTAGGCATGGGCAGGAAAACCAAATTTTAATAGAATTGAGAAAACATACTTGTGTGGAATCTATACTGTAGATGCAGTAGAAACGATGGTCCAGTAACAATTTTTAACAGGCCTAGTAAAACTTCATCTAATTCAGAACGGGACAAAGAAAACAAATTCTTGTTTTAAAAAAGACAAATTATAATCCTTCAACATAGATTTAAATTATACAATCACTGGTAGATATATTTTTTGTCTTTTTAAATACTCTTTTTTGAAGCACTTCTTTTCCATCAATTTAATGAGTATTTCCTATTAATCACAAAACAATCTAGACGCCTAGACGCTGCAAAAAAAAAAAAAACACAAAATTGTGAGATCATTGTCTTGTCTACCTTTCGAGTATAGAAAATGCAAACTAATACTACAATAATGGCAGCCCCCCAACATCCCGTAACACAACCACATCATCAGTCACATAAAGCTGATTTTCTTTGACAATGCGCCATCATTGATAAAACGAAAATTGACTTGGAAGCAAGTCAAAAGCTTCGGGGAGGCCAGTCCGCAAAGTCTATATATATAAGCACCTCTATATCTCTACGCACACATTTATATAGAGTGGCTATTGGAACAAACTGCGCGTGGAGCATTTTTGTCGTTTTCGGGCCATGTCGTGGACGCGTTACGCAAAATTTTATTTTTAAAAGCTGGTACTCGCACCCTGTCCGGAGCCGACTCGACTCGACTCGACTTGACTTGATTTGATTCAACCAGACTAAGCATTTGGCCAGCAGCTGCATATTGCAAGCATACTAGTACTATATGTATTTATGTATGTATAGCACTATTGTTCAGATGCAGCGGCTAGCGAAACATTTTTAATGACCCCTAATGTAAAATTAATGTGTGTATAATGTGTGGTCTATATATGTATATACATATATGTATTGTATACAAAACGCCCACGCTGGACGGGTGGGCGTTTGGTCTGGGACTGCAAAACTATAGTTGCCTAGATTTTGCGTAGATCAGCGTGCGAGGATGAAAGAGTTTTCAGTTGCCTCGCGGACGCTTCACGGTGTACACATCAAACGCGCGTCATATACGAATATATTCGTACAGATGTTGGCTACTTGTCAGCTCCGTGTGTTTATATAGATATCGGTATACAAGGTCTGTTCCAAAAAAAGGTGAATTTCGCATTTTTTGAAAAGTATTCATCAATATCCATTTTGGCCCCTTTAAAGCAGTCCCCCTTAGATAAAATGCGCTTTATCTCATAATTGTATCAAAACGCTCTCCTTTCATTGGTCTCTTCAGTTTTGGGAATAGGGAAGAATCGCAGGGAGTTGATATGATTACGGTGTTATTTTTGTTAATACATATTCTTTGATTCATTTTTTTCACAAGTCAAAAATCAAAGAACACACAAAAACGTGACTAATCTTTCGTTAGTTTTCGGTTGTCAAGAACAAACTAATAATCCAAATTGGCTGATAATGCCAACATATGATAAATATATGTGTACCAACAAAACAAACAAAAAAACCATCCCTAGACTCGAAATTCAACATTCCCCTTTTCTTTTGAACAGACCTCGTATGTATGTATGTGTGTGTAGCTGTAGATATTTAAGCAGACAGTACATTTAACATGACTATATTCTCTTGGCGTTTCGCGGAAACAACTCAAGAATTATTTTTGGTGCCCACATTCATCGTCGTCATCAGCAGCATCGCAGGCGTCATTGGTTGCCAAGAGTTCTAGATATAATTAATACAACAAATAAATAAATAAATAACATAAATGTAGATATGAACTCGTTTCAATTGAATCATCTAATGATTATCTCTCCATTTTACAGTTAACATTGTGGTTTTGAAATGTTTCAAAATCAGAATAATGTTGCCGCTGGCGGCACAAATCCTTCTCCCGTTGCCGCGCCCATGGATACTAACCAGCAGCAAAGCCTAAACTATAATGGGCTGCAACAAACACAGCAGCAGCAGCAGCAGCAACAACAACAACAACAACAAACTCAATCAGCCAAGAATGTGAGAAAGAAACCGTATGTAAAAATTACAGAACAGCCCGCTGGTAAAGCCCTGCGTTTTCGCTATGAATGCGAGGGTCGCTCCGCGGGTTCCATACCAGGCGTCAACTCAACACCCGAAAACAAAACCTATCCAACAATCGAAATTGTCGGCTACAAGGGTCGCGTTGTTGTTGTTGTCTCATGCGTCACGAAGGACGCGCCTTATCGGTAAGTGACTGTCAGAAATATTAGCTTTGTCTTAAAACTAATTTTATTATTATTATTATCTTATTATTAATTTAGTCCCCATCCACACAATCTCGTGGGCAAGGAGGGCTGCAAGAAAGGCGTTTGCACACTGGAGATAAACAGCGAGACTATGCGGGCCGTATTTAGTAATCTGGGCATACAGTGTGTGAAGAAAAAGGACATAGAGGCGGCTCTAAAGGCGCGCGAGGATATACGCGTTGATCCATTTAAGAGTAAGTACTACTTTGAATCTAAGCTTATCTGGTTAGGTTTTTATTTATATAGGCTTTCAAGCATTAACAGGGATATAACTTACAAATGATAATTACTGTCAGAAATAAAATGAAATGTAGGGCATACCTCAATTAAAATGGATTCTATCCTCAATCTGGTTACCCTGCCTTAAGATAAGATCTTAGAAGAGAAAGAAATTGATGTTTCTCATCAATACTTACCTTGACAGCTATGTATATTGTAAACTGCACAGATTTTTATGAAACTTCAGATTATGTTGTACCTATGAAGATATGTATCCATTATATAGAATCTGCTAGTCCCCCCTCTGTATTCTACATAGATGTGATGTCTAGCCTTTTGAGGTGAACTGAACTCTTAATAAATCTACTTTGTGATCAGATGACTCCTCATGTAGAGCTGTGAACCATTTGTATTCTCTTGAAAAAAATGAACAATATATGTTAAATTAAAATAATTAGTTAGGAATATACTCAAGTCAGTATTCTTATTTTCATTTAAATTGAAGTTAAAAGATTATTTTTGTTAAGATTACAAATTCTTCCAAAGAGTTGCTACAACAGCCATCAAACAATATACATTTTTGGAAACTACGACATAATTGTGCCAATCGGGGGAAACACTTAATTGGGAGCCTTCTTAAAAAAACATATTCAAACATGGGGTTAGATTGTAAAGAGTAGTTGACGAGAAATAATTGTGTTTAGGCGTTTCGTTGGAACAAACGTTTTATATAGTATTACTGCTCTTTTGATAATATAACTCGAAAGATAATAATGTTTCAGAAGCAATTACTTATTATTTATGATTAAGAATTGAAAAATAAATAAATAAACTTATTCTTGATCTTGACAGCGGGGTTCTCGCACCGTTTCCAGCCCTCGAGCATTGATTTGAATGCGGTTCGCCTGTGCTTTCAAGTGTTTATGGAGAGCGAGAAGGGACGCTTCACACAAGCCTTGCCGCCAGTCGTCTCCGAGCCTATTTACGACAAGAAGGCTATGTCTGATCTGGTCATATGTCGGCTGTGCAGTTGCTCCGCCAGCGTTTTGGGCAACACACAAATCATACTGCTGTGCGAAAAAGTGGCCAAAGAGGACATTAGTGTGCGGTTTTTTGAGGAGAAGAACGGCAAGTGCGTCTGGGAGGCTCTTGGAGACTTTCAGCATACGGATGTGCACAAGCAGACTGCCATTACATTTAAGACGCCGCGTTATCACTCGCTCGAGATCACAGAGCCTGCCAAGGTAACGCAAAACAAATCGAATCCAATCCAATCCAAATGCCATAGCTATTATACATATTTATGATTCTAGGTATTCATACAGCTGCGTCGGCCATCGGATGGCGCCACCAGTGAGGCTTTACCCTTCGAATATGTGCCGTTGGATTCAGGTAGGCATACGTTTTGGAATCTTCATCGGCATCTCAAGCGAAAGCCGGACGAAGACATATTTCAGCAAATTTTGTCGTTGGATGCTTGCGCCAGGAAGCGTGAGGCACCAACGATTGAGGTTATCGACCTAAATACGCCTACCTTGGAGCAACCCGAGCAGACTGCAGAGCAAGCATTCGCAATCGCAGCAGCAGACTTAGAAGAAGAGGAACAGGTTCAGCAAATAATGCAAGATTCTGTTCCGAGTTCAGATGTGACCGATCGGGTCGCCGAACAATTTGAAGCTCAGGAAGCGGAACGTTTGCGCACTGAGCAGGAAATTGATACTATTATTGATGAAAAGGTGCGCGAACTTGAGGAATTGCAGCAGCAGCAGCAACAACAACAACAACAACAACAGCAGCAGCAGCAGCAACAGCAGAACTTAGACTTCGTATTGCAGGATGCGCGTCCGCTAACTCCTAATGATAAAATAACTGACTGGATTGCATCGAACGAGTTGGAAGAGTTACACGAGGGCAGTCCCATTACCGATTTGAATATTGGCAGTGCAAGGATTGAGGCCCAGGCAGAGCCACAAGTCACTGATGAGAACAAAACCCTCAACGAACTGCTCGAACAGGTGGCCGAATTGGATGAGATCTATACGGATTATGCGCTACGACGCGATACATATAACAATACCATACAGAATGAGCTGCAGAGTGTAGAGAAATGCGAAAGCACACGCCCGCCCATGAAGATGGAGGATAGCTTCGATGATGCTGCAACCTATACGAGTCTGCAAATTGCCTTTAAAAATCCAGTTCTCATACCAATGGACGACATAATGCCACCCACGCCGCCCATGTCACAGTGTGCGCCCGAAGATACACAGCACTATGATCCCATAGAGATCAGTACGCAAGATCGGCATTTGCAACAGAGTCCACAACTGCAGCAGCAGCCGCAGCAGCAGCAACGGAAAACAGAATTGCAGCAGCAACTGAAGCAGCTGCAACAGCATGCGTCGGGACCACCTCCACCTGCCAGGCCGCCAGTCAGCTCCCCCATCATGCATGTCACCGCAGCGGAGGAGGAGAAAGTGCCGCCCTTGCCACCGAAGCGCTTGCGCAAACAGGATAGCAACGCCGAAAACCGTTCAATTGAGGCAAACAATGCCAGTAGTGAGTCCTTGGAGCCGCGCAGACACCGCTTGCCTCCACCCATCATCCATCAGCTGCCTCTGAAAATCGCGCCCAATAAAGGGCTGCCACCCAAGCCCACATCTGATAGCAATACGCTGCCCAGGCAAAAGAAGCCCGGCTTCTTTACCAAACTCTTCAATCGACGCAAGAGCAAGCCCGACCTAAATCAATCGAACGAGATCCTGACAAGCTCCAGTTCAAACACGAAACTGAGCCCCAATACCAACAATCCCAATTCACGAAGCGAACCCAATATTGCGCCTTTCAAAGCGAACGATTCATTGCGCTCATCGTTGCGTTCGGCCAAGTCGGAGAAGGCAGCCACATCGAGTCCTGTAAAGACTGGCAGCAAGAAGCTGGCCAACAAGACAAGCAAGCCTTGCGGCCGAAGCGTGAGCAGCGTGTCGGGGAAAAGATCGGCGTATTTGAACGCCGATGTGGTGCACATACCGCTGAAAGGCGACAGCATAAATAGCTTGCCACATCACCAGGGAAATGAGGGCTATTCAAATTCCAGTACTGTAACGCTGAGCGGCAACTTGGACAGACGTACGGCCTCGGCTCTGCAGCTGGCCGAAATACCTATTTCCGAGGGTGGCATGGAACTGGTGGCCATTGCGGATCGCCAGAGTCTGCACAATTTGGTCAGCTCCATCGAGGGCCAGTATAATGTGAAGCTAGATCCGAATTTAGATTTCGCCGAGGCCGAACACTTTGCTCTTTACACGAGCATACCGCCGCAGGCGACGGCCAGCGAATTTGATGAAATGTCCGCCTATTATGCTCCTGTCGATGCCGGCGAAATACTGACGCCCGACGAGGTGGCTAAGCGCTTGGCGGCCGCCAATGTCAACAATTAGGCTGGATTTTCCTGGAACTTTCCCAGGCTTTCTAGCGCTTGTTTGCTGACTCGCAGTTGTTGTTGTTGCACCACGACATTTGGAACGAAACAAAACCATCAACAACTGCAAACGAACATTAATTTAAATCAATCCTAGACACCATTTGTATTGGATAAGGGGTTGCGCCTTAAATATTGTTTTTCAAGCGCCATCCAAAATTGTAAACCTGCCAGCAGAGACGATCGAAGATCTCAAACATACACGACCGACAAAACTCTAGATTGTTGCTTAGCCTCTAAGGCTACTTGTATTTAAAATGTTTATATAAATCAATTGTTAGGCATTGTGTTGTGTGTGTGTGTGCGAGAGATTCTCATCGCTCTAGTTGGCAGTACGGCGTTCATTTCGTAACGTCCAAGCTCCATTTTGTATTTGTTGAAAATTGTATCAATTAGGAATTGAGAATTGTAACGAATTAATCGAATATGACGCAAATTTGTCGCCCGGAACCAACGCAATCATTTTAAGGCAGCATTCGATGGATTGCTGTTCATTTGTTGAAGCGCATGCGCGCACATTTTGTATTTAATAGCTCAGCTAACATTTATGGCTTCTTTCTATCACCAAATGTGATATGAAGGAGACAAAAAACCAATTTACCTTGCCAGGCTATCGAAGTTTGCATTAAAACAACATGTCCCATTGACACTTTTTTTTATAGATCCAGCACATTTGAGGCGGAAACGTCAAAAGACTGGCGGCGATCCCATGCATTTGTTGCTACAGCAACAACAGAAACAACAACAACAACAGCAGCAGCATCAAAATGATCATCAGGATGGTAGTAAGTTTGTTTTTGCTTTTTTTTATGGCATTCTCATCTAAGGGATAGTCGTACTACCCTAAGTGGTGTTGGTCCATTCTCTCACCTTATCTCTCTCTCCCCCTCTCTCAAATCTACCATCGGATTTCTACTGTATCTAATGTTGCTATTCCTGCTGTCTAATGTTTTGTTTTGTTGTCGGTTGCCCTTAAAGGGGGCAAAAGGGTTGTGCTTTTGGTAGTGCTGGTTATTTTGGAGCGAGATATTTATGATATTAGGAAAAGGCAGCTTGGTGCTGGATCTATTGTACTTGTGGCATCGTCTATTGTCTATAAACTTGTTTTGTCTTTAAAGAGCTGCATATGTTTTGAGCAGCCGCGAACACTTGAAGACATCAAATAGTAAATAACTAAGTATAAACTAAACTGATCCTACCTATGAATATACATTTTTTGCATACCAAAGACTTAACTAATTATGATGTATTAAATAGACTATTAGAAAATATTAGAGTTACTGAAACTAAAGCAAAATATATAAAATTACGCAAATGCAAATACACTTGAAAAAATATGGCAAAATATACATACAAATATAAAAGAAAATTTTAAAATATAGCAATATTCGTGCAGTCCTAAACGGACTTGAAATATTTGGTAATTGTCGCTTATCTTTAAAAACAGAAAACAAAGAAAAACCCGAATGCAATTTGATATTTTTATATAAACAAAATACGTAAACATAAAGTTTTTGAATATTTTATAATATAGCATAATAAAAGTTGGAAAAAAGACAAATAAGTTTTAAATTTCTTTCAAATTCCACTGAACTGAAGTAAGTTTTGAGCACGTATTGCATGTTTTGATTTTTAAAATCTCCGAACAAAAATTTCCAAAGTTTTTACTATTTAACGAGCTTTTAATTATTTGCAAAATGTTTCAGTTTTTACATTTTAAAACGATTTCAGTACCAGATTTTTATTTTACATTGCGCTTTTTAAAAACTTTGAAAGAACAATTTCAATTTCAATTGCTAAAACATATTTTAAAAATGTTTATTTTACATTTTTTTATTTTGCATGTTTTGTTTTTTTAAATCATCAAACAATTTTTTTTATTCGACGAGTTTTTAATTGTTTTACAAAATGATTCAGTATTTACATTTTAGAATGGTTTCAGCACCAGATTTTTATTTTACATTGCGCTTTTTTATAAACTTTGAACGAACAATTTCAAAATATCGTTATATCATATTTTAAAAACTTTTATTTCACATTCATTTTATTTATGAGGTTTGAATTTTTGCATGTTTTGTTTTTTTAAATCACCAAAAAAAATTTTTCTTTCGGCGAGCTTTTAATTGTTTTGCAAAATGTTTCAGTTTTTTAAGTTTTTACATTTTAGAACGATTTTTATTTTATATTGCGCTTTTTAAAAAACTTTGAAAGAACATTTAGAAAATATTGTTATAACATATTTTAAAAATTTTTATTTCATATTCATTTTATTTATAAGATCTGGCTTTTTGCATGATTTGTTTTTTAAAGTCTCCACAAACATTTTTTCCTTTCGACGAGCTTTTAATTGCTTTACAAAATGTTTCAGTTTTTACATTTTGGAATGTTTACAGCACCAGATTGTTTTAACATATTTAGCAATTTTTATTTGACCATAATTTTATTCATAAGGGCTGCCTTTTTATGTTAATTGTGTTTTAGAATTGCTTATTTTGTTTGTTTTATTAACTTTGGCTTTTTATTTACATCCTGCACTTCTAGGACAAGCCAACATGAATTGTTGGAATGCGCCAAACATACCGTCCATTAAAACAGAACCGAGAGGTGAGTACTTCAGTTCCTAGAGTGGACAAGAATTCAATATTCTATATCCTGCATAGATACCTCACCGCAGCCCTTTGGTCTGTATCGTGCACCACCCGAGCTGACGCCGTCTCCACAGCCGCTGTCGCCGTCGAGTAACTACAACCAGAATAGTACACCCTCGCCCTACAATATGGCAGCGGCTGGTACAGCACCAGCACCTCCGAATGCACAACAGATGATATCGCCGAACCACCCGCAGCAGCCACAATATGCCGGAGGTGGGGGTGGAGCTGGAGGGCCAACCAACATGGAGGTGGGCGGCTATAATCCCTTCATACAGCAAGCGCTGGTACAGCAGCAGCAACAGCAACAACACCAGCAGCAGCAGCACCTTCAACAACAACAGCAACAACAGCCACAGCACCAACAACTGCAGCAGCACCAGGCCCTGCAGCATGGACAGTTTCAGGCCAATCCCTTTGCTGATGTGGCTGGAACGTGGGACAGCAAGTTCTCGGCGACTGTGGCCGCTGCGGCTGCAGCTGCTGCCGCCGCCGTACCTGCTGCCAACAACAGCAACAACTTAAGCAATCTCAACAACCCCTTCACTATGCACAATCTGTTAAATACAAGCGCCAATGCGACCAGCAACGCCAATAATTTGCAATGGAACTTGACCACAAATAATTTGGTAAGTCTTCAATTGTTTACAATTCATTTGTTTTCATTACTAATTATGCACATTATTTGATATCAGCACCAACATCAGCTGCAACACCAACAACCCATCATGCAGCATCAGCAGCAACAACAGCAGCAGCAGCAACATCAGTTGCAGCAATATGGCAACACGCAAAACAATATTGCCCCGGATGGCAACGCCAGCAACAACCACAATCAAAACGATAACAACAACATCAATCACGCCACCGACAACAATGAGAATAACGGTCCAACGATCAGCAATCTACTGAATTTCGACAGTGAACAGCTGGTGCACATCAATTCGGAGGACCAGCAAATGATACGCCTCAATTCGGAAGATCTGCAAATATCAAACCTATCCATTTCCACGTAACCCCCCAGAGAGTACATATGTTAGAAAATAAATGTTAGCTGTTGTCATCGTTCTCCGCCTCGACCCGGTCGAGGTCGTTGTCAGTATGTTTTAGTTTTAAATTGTGTTTTTATATTATTGTGAATTATGTGTTTTAAGCATTATGTTTTAATCGCAAATAAAATAATAAATTACAGTTTTAGGATTATTAAAATTTATATCTACTATATGCTGTATGAGTCTTTATGGAACATGACGGATCAGGATCATGTTTCTAAATATATTTACTATCCCTACTTCTATCTATACTATATATATTATTCACTCAGTTACTTTGGAACTATCAGGAGTAAAATGTTGAAAAAGTGTTTCCGTTTTAGACACTGAAGGATCTTAGCTAGGGTTTGTAAATTGATCAAATAAATTTAATTTTTTAGGAACTAAATAATTTTTGTCAGAAAAACGTTCTCACATAGCATACTTGTATGTATATTACCCATTTATTCTTCAAAATTCACTTTTTCCAGATATCGTAATTAATTAAATTAAATAAAAGCATTCTCCCTTAGGAGGTCGTATAATTTTTCTTTTTTCAGGCTCTCTTTTCACCTTTAGACATTTTCTTTACCCGTGAAGCGGCTTAAATTTTCAATTTTCAACACAGCAGCTCAGGAGTTTTTTTTTGTTTATTTTATTTTGACATTAGGTGTCTTTCTGGGTTATTGGAAAATGTATACCAGAAAATATTGGAATTTTATTTGAGACATCTTTCTGGTTGATGTAAAATTTTATTTTGTGTTAATTTTTTGTGCAACGTAATACTCTTATTAGTACGAGTGAAAAAGTGAAATTAAACGTCAACCAGTAAAATAAATGCGAACGAACAAACAAATTAATAACAATACTAATACAATATAGTTTTAAAAACGGGTGTACAGCCAAATCTGTCTCCCTAAATTGATTTACTTGAGTGCTATTCGGCCAGATCGTCGCCTCGCTTTTCATTGTCACCACCGAAATGGGAATTGAAGATGTCGCGTAATTTCCCAACCGCCTCCGGCAAAGAATTGATATGCAAAGCTGGTGGTGGAGTTGCGGGCAACATAACGTAGGCCACAAAGTGTAGCATGCGATATGTGGCAGCTTGATAGGACTGCCGCTGGGCAAAGCATTGCTTGATGCGTTGACCCACAGAAGCGGCCAGACAATTTTGTAGAGTGCTCAGCTGTTCTTCACTACGCTGAAGCTTTTGCTGCAGCTCCACTGTTTTCCTTTTATATTCCTCCAGCTCTAGTAGTTTACTGAAACGAAAATGATTATGAGATCGAGAAATCTGCATATATGCTGGAGAATACAATTATATAATAATTTAGAAGCTGAACAGTTCCTACTTAAAAGCAAGTAGGCAGCAAAAGAAAATAAATATATATATACTTGTATATATAAATATAAATAAATAAATAGTCCTATTAACAGAGGGTGACAAAATAATACACAATCCATCAAGGGCGTAGGCAGCTTTTACCAAAGGGAGGGCCCAAAAATTAAACTTTTGATTAAATAATGCACGATGCCTTTAAAAAATAACTTATGCATATGATCAATGAAAAAACTTCAACAAATCGAACTCATAATAATGAACGTGTGGTCGACTTTATATGGCAACATTTTTTGCAATACTATGTTATACTGGGAAAAGGACATGAAGAACAAGTAAAATGTTAACAAACCCCAATTCAGGTCTAGTGTAGTGAATGCTTTTTTTGTCATTTAAAGTGACTTAATGTTTCGAGGATAATTTTGAAAAAACAGCATAGAATTTTCAGCTATTTGGACTAAATGCTTAATTATGTATGTTTAAAGTAGGTATGTTTAAAGTAGTTTTCTCATGAATTCCATTATCAGAACTGGACCAAATTGAAATGGGACCATTCGGGAAGCTTTTAAATGGAAGAAGAATCATCAAAATCGGTTCACCCAGTCGAAAGTTCTGAGGTAACAATCAGAAATACAGTCGAACTAAAAACGTTCCCCTTTGCAGAACCTAACAATACTCTCATCAAAGTACCCTTCAAGTACATCCTTTCCAATAAAAAAAGAATCATCGAAATCGGCTGCCGTGACATTGAGTTATTACTCCATTTGTGGCTCACATGTTTTACTCATTAATGCTATTATCAGAACTGGACCAAATTGAAATGGGACCATTCGGGAAGCACCAGCTTTCAAAGAATTATCAAATTCGGTTCACACAAAAAAAAAAGAAGAAATCTCCTGAAAAGACAATAAAATTGTTGTTACCCCTTTTCAGACCGCTGCCCTGAGGCCTGTTTCGAAGGTTGAAATCTGGGGAAAAGTCGCATTTGCAGAACATTCGATTGCATCCAAATTCGTTCTTAGCATAGGGAAAATGGAATTTTCTTTCTTTAAAATTTTATATAATATTTGAATGCTGGGAAAGAAACTCCTGCTTTCTATAAACTACGTTACTATACAAGTATATCAAAGCAAAGTGTGTTTAGGAAAGTAAGGATCGAGGCATCGACTTACCTGTTCTGTTGTTCCAGGCTGCTCTTGTAGTCCTGCAGCTTAGCCTTAGCCAGAGCGAGCTGCTCGGAAATCAAGGCCACGTTGTCGCGGAATTGCTCCAATTGCTGCTGCTTCAGGCTAAGCTCTATCTGAACGAATTCCAGCTGGCAAGTTAGTTCCTTTTTTTCAAATTCGACGTCCTGATAGTCACGTTGGGAGCGGGTGAGCTCCTCCAATTGTTCGCGCTGCTTTGTGGTTACGCGAAAGAGATCGTTTTGGGTATTTTGATGCAGTTCCTGCATATTCTCAATGTCCTGATCCTTGACGGCGTTCTCCTTAGTCAGCTGCAGCTTCTCCCGTGTCATCTGCTCAAGCATTATATTGAGTTCATCGTAGGAGAGCTTGATCTTGGCATTATCGCGATAGGATATCTTTAGTTGTTCATTGAGTGTGTCATTGCGACGCTTTTCCACGGAAAAGAGCGAGTTGTAGACATGCAATTGATTGCGGTTCTTGACAAACTGAATGGGGAAGGGCATTAAATTGTTTTCGCCACCTAAACAAAAAACCCCAAACACCATTGCCTTACACTGCGTTTGTACTCATCCACCTGCTCGCTGAGCATGCGGACCTCCTCGCGTCGACGGCGCCAGGCATGCAACATGATCGTGTTGAAGATGCGAAGGCTAGCCAGGCGCGCGTCCTGCGCACCACTGACCACAAAACGCACATTTCCGCTGCCATTGTTGCACAATAGCGCTGCATCCTGCAGCAGCATTTTGGTGATGTGTTGATCTTGGATGCTCAGCACATCACAGGATTGTGGCATTGCCTTTGAGGCAGGCACTAGCGCGTCGGGCTTCGCCACATGAGCCACCAGCTGGTAGTTGCCAGTGCGACGGGCCTCCTTGAAGTCCATTTGCGAAACGGACTTGCGTGCGCGAAAATTCAAAATGGCTGCCGACTGTTGGCGCTTCAAGGTCAAATATGGCGGCAAAGTTGGCTTGGCCAATGCCAGTTCAACATTCGTATTCTGTGGCTGTTGTTGTTGCTGCTCATCCCCCTGCTCGTTATGGTTGGGCTGCACCGTATAAGTGGGAACCCCATTTTTCGAGTATGTGGTGGTCACCGAATTGTCCGATGACGAAGGGGTCAGTAGGGCAGCCTTAGGTATGCCGCTCAACAGCTGAGATGTTTCCTTGTTAACAGTGCTAGAAACGAGGCCATTTAAAGGGGGGTCTCATCATCTCGGTCAAGACCTACCTGGGCGCCTTTCGCACCACTCGCTGGCCATGGCTAAGAGTGCGACGCTTCTTTAATGATGTGTTGATTAATGTTTTGCCATAATGAGCTCGTGGGGAATTGTTTCTAGAGGAATCAGAAACTCCCCCTGAATTAATGTCGTATTTTCGAATACGCGGACTCTTTGGCAACATGTTGCCTTCTGAAAGCGATGCAAATTTCGAATTGTGTAATTTGTTGGTAAATTTAAAAAGTGCGGCACAAAATAGGTCAAATGACAACGAAAAAGTGCGACTGTTTTATTTATTTATTTTTATTTTTTTTGTTTTTGTTCCAACCGAAGTTTCGTTGGCTGTTGTAGAAAAACCAAAGAATGAATTTAAAAACTAAAACGGACGTGACGTTTGTGACTGCTAATATAATTCTGTTGATTTAAATTACAAAGTATACTGTCTATCGATTTGGTTTATGTAAGCAACTCCTTTGAAATTAGAGAATATTTCATTTGGTATTTGTTCATCTTTATTATTTTTCGATATAATGCAAAGCACAACTTATCATTTTTATACCAAAATACATTTTAGAAACCGGCGGCTATCAATAAATCCGAGTGTCGATTGCATTATAAACGTTTATCATGAAAACAATTTAATTTGTTAAGCTTGTGGCAGATGTACAAACACTTGGTTACAAAAGCAACATTTGTAATGCATAAATCAATTATTTTCCAGTGAATGGGAGTTTTATTTTATTTATTTAACAAATCAATAAGTAGCGCTGTTAATGCATTTTACAAAAACTATGATTTATATTATATTATTAAAAATATTAATATTAATGGGTCTGACACGTTGATTTGCCGTTTGCCCCGATTCACAGCGATATGTGATCTGAGATATTATAGACCTAACAAACTAAAAAAAATGGAAAGTAGATAAGGAAAATTACGAGAAAATCTCCAAAATTTAATTGCCAGTCCAGGAAGCTATGGATGCAATTTACGGGCAATATCTAAAAGATCTACAAGTATTGTATCGCAAATGTATGGCATAGTTATAGAACCAATGCTCCAATTATTGGTTGCGTAATCAATTTGATGGTTCGCTGTGTATTTATAGGCTATTTAATCTATATTAACGAGTGATATTAATGAGTGAGAAAGGGGCGGTCGAGGGAAAGGGTTCTCTTGAGACACCTGAGACGGTGGCTGTTGTCCAGTAGGTTTAGGGCTATGGCTGAAAAATAAGACAAGCCAGATCTAAGACTTTTCTAACAATGTTGTATGTTGTATATTGATTATGTACGAATTGTGGGCTTGTGAATGTAAAAGTTATGTGGCAAGCCGCGCTATTTTTTGTAACCGATATAAAAATATACCTACTATTCTGAATTGAAATACATAGATGAGTGAAATTATAGCTGATTAGAAGGTACTAGATCGTGCCTTCACTAAGAAACAAAAAATATTTCTTTATGGTCATGGCATGACTTTACATTCTATTTTATCCTTACTATTTAATTTGGAACAGGAGGATCTGTCTGGACCCTATCCATACCTTTTTTTTTAATTGGTCATCCATGGCCTCCAAACATGGCTCACCATATTTAGAAGCACCACGATCAAATAAAACGAAAGCAAAATAGCTTGATTTAAATATTTTGCTATAAATAAATAAGATTTTAATACAATTCCCGTTCTTAAATCATTAACAGCCATATGAGACAGTGATCTGATTTGGTCGTCTTCAACATATTATCTGTTATATGTATGAACGATAGAAAGGAGCCTCAGTGCAACGTTTCAATTCGGTAGCTCTTAAAATGTTGGATTTCCACTTTTCTCTGAAGTGTATAAAAGGTTCCATACAAGTAAGGGTATCTCAATTCTAACCACATCGGTTGACATAAAGCTCCAATCATTTATTTAACATCTTCTGCTTCCGTACATCGCTGCCCAAGCAAATTGCGACGCCCAAGAACTTTTCGCACAGTAATTCACTTCCGCACAACATCCGTTCGCTTATTTGTAACTCAGTTGGAATAGAATGGTTTGCGGGCATTTCTTTAATGCGCAAACATTCACCTTGGACCAAATCCAACATGCTCTTTACACTACACTGGACACCAATTTGATTGCAAACGATGTTTTTTCAAACGGAATTTTAAATGTTTTAAATCAAAAGCTCTTGCGCCTTTTTCACCACAGCAGCGAAATTTGCGTTTGCGCAGACAGAAAAGCGAAAAACAGAAAAGCTTTCGCTGCCTTGAGGCATCCACAAGTTCTGTCGGCACGACAAAGTTCAGGTTGGACTCCTTTGGTCAGTATTTCATTAACGTTGTGCCGCTGCTAGCAAACGGTCGTCACTCCTGCTGCTGCTGCTGCCGCTGCCGCTTTCGCTGTCGCTGTCGCTGCCTCTGTCGCTTTCGTTGACAAGTGTTCGGTAATGTAAGGTGTGATTTAACGTGCGGAATTTTGAATGTGAGCCTAAGGATTTATAAAGAGTTGATGCATTGTACGGTATTTGAAGTATTTTGAAAGGGAGAGCGCCAAAGTAAATTTAAAATCACATTCATATACAAACAGCGGGTATTCGATTCGATTTGTTTATTTGTGCGTGTGCATGCGATTACGAAAATAAAAACGAACATTTTTGAAATTCCTCAAAGCATATCGAAGAGCACGAGCACAGTTCTGAATTTTTTCTGTTGGGTAAGTTTCGAAAACTTAGAATTCGATGCCCATAAATAATGATAGTGTCTGCATGCAGTGATTTCTTGTTCGTGTGTGTGTGTGTGTGGGCCATTTTTTAATAAATTCTGCCAACAAATAAAACAATGCAAAAGTTGTATGGGAATTAACAAACAATAATATCAAATCAAAAGAAACATAAGCTGCTTGCACTTTAACGCGAATCAATGAAATGGGTTTCTCCCGACCTGCCAGCGTAAAAAAGTGAGCTTACTCAGTCTCTAATGTGCTAAGTCATTTATAAATATCATAAATTTAGTAATAGTCTTGGGGAAAAAGACATTAAGAACATTCTAATTATCGATTGTGCCATCACAGATATGGCTGAGTTGACCAGTTTTGCGGTCGCCCGATTTGCATAACCAGTTCATAAGCAACGTCAGAATGCGCACTGATTTCAAGGAATGGGCGACAAAGTTACGAGTATATTTGTCGAACGGGCGTTTCCAAAACAGTAAAATAATGGAACAAATATGTTCTGTAATTTGTTTCGTTTATTCAGTGTATTTGTATACCCTTGAAAAGGGGGGATGTCACCCGAAAAGAGTCGTTCTGCATCACATGTTATAAGTCTGTATAATTATTTATATGGTTGTACGTCTGCCCATTTTTAATTTCCAAAAGCTAAAGCGCTATTAATTTGAACAAAGGATCATTTTAACTGTAAGCAGATCTGATATCAATGTCGGGTCGGTTCACTATACCCAATAGTTGAAAATGAACGATCGGCCTTCTTTGTACTACATTTGATATCGTATTCCTATAGTAACGATCATGTTAAAAAAAATTTAAAATTTGTGAATAAGCTATGTAAATATGTATTTTTAAGTATGTTATTAAAAGTGGAGAAGCACATCCCCAAGGGTATATCAGCTTCGGCACACAACTCAAAATCGAAAGTATGTTAGCTGCTTTTATTAACATTATGATTAAATGCAGGCATGTTTTATAATATATCTGACTCATTTAATATCAACAATTTCTAAGATATTCGAATCATTAGAAATTCGTAATATCCGATTATTTGCAATCGCTTTTACAAGCAACATCCATTTGGTTAGATTCCAATAGTTTTTATTTTACGCTCAATGGGTATTTGTAATAAAAAGTTTCCGAAATTATTTCAAAAAATCCTTGTACAATTTAATTTTTTAAATTCAACTATCTGCTCAAAAATATATGAGTATATACATCGACAGATTAGCTTAAAAGTGATTATGGAAAAGTGTTTTTTGAGTATTAAGTTGTGTTTAAACATTTTTTAAAGCAAACATTGGAAATATTATTTAATGTTTTCAGCATTTCAGTTTTTCGGATGGGGCAAAATTATTTTTTTGCGGAATACCTACGTTAAAACGTTTGCTGAAGTGCTAGAAATAAATAAAGAAAATAAAATAAATAAATGTTTCTCGGGTCGTACATACATACAAGTTATAGGACTATATTTGAGAGTTTTACAACTTGTTTGCGATGTTTCAAGCAGTTTAGCAGTATACTCTATTCTCCTAGGTCCGAGAAAGGACGAGTTTATTTTATTTTTTTTAGTTTTCTCCCCCTTCCCCCGCTATTCCCCCGCATTTCAAATGCTACCTAACCCAACTTTGCACACATAATTTATATATAATATATTGTATTCAATTCGGTCAATTCTAGGAAAAGAAACCCCCCAAACTGCAGCAACAAGTTCGCTCTTCTTCTTCCTCTTTTTGCTGTTGCTATGGGCGCATATAACTCAGTGACGGAAGTTTACCTGGGTACAGGGTATTACACTGTCGGGCTTGCTCGACTGTAGCGTTCTCTCTTGTTTCTTACTACTCTTGTCCGTACGCTTTTAACTGACTTGGTAACATGTTAGATCATGTATGATCTGCTAATTTTATTGCCTGTACCCAAAGAGTGAAAGGCTATACTAGTTTTGTGCGAATGTATGTAACAGGCAAAAGGAGGCGTGGCAGACCCCACAAAGAATATATATTCTTGATCAGGGCTTACATTTTTTTTAAATTTTCCTTTTCTGTGGAGAGTACAGGTTATTTTACTGTCGGGCTTGCTCGGCTGTAGCGTTCTCTCTTGTTATTTTTTTGATTTTCCCCCCACTTTTCCCTGAGGGTGATTTTCGGAAATGCCGTTTGTATAATCGTCTATATCCCTGTGTTTAATTAATTTTAATTTTGTGGCCCCTTTGGAAAAAACTGCGAACGCCCTTGGAAATATAAATCAAATCGCAACAAACGCCATAAAATTAGCGACAAAATCGTGGAATAAACGTTGGGCTGCAAAATGAAAGCATCGTTGCCAGACTTACTCTAAGAATCCACTGTCAACACTTATTGTAAACTGATGTTGATCACTACTTTGTGCAAAAGCCGAGGTAGTCGAAAATATTATTCCAGTTCAGCATTCAGTCGTTGGACTCCCCCGGGTAAGGACGTCCGCGATTTGTCTTTTTTTAATTTTAAATTAATTTTTTTATTTTATATTTTGTACTACTATTTCTGATCTTAAGATATTTTATATTTTTATTTTGTGAATTATTTGTTAGAGGAGGCAATTGCGCCAAACGTGCCCCCAGCGCAGCAACCTAAGGAATTGGATGATAACAATAGGTTTCCTTTATATAAGTTGATTTTAAAATTGTTT